AAGAGTGAGATTAGAATATGCGATTTTAGTAAAATTTTCTCTCGAATCTTTATTTAAGCCATTATTTAAAACACGGCGATGGCTAAAGCGAAAATGTTGGACACGCTGGTGTGTCTAAAAACGGTACTGCGCCAAACGGCTTGTAGTTCGATAACCAGAATTTGTGCGAAATCTTCGGCACATACGGTCGGAGATTCCTCTGAACGGAACATTGTCAAGGCAGACGGACGCGAGGAGGTAAAAGAGCGGCGTTGCAGTTCGTGTGTGCAGACAATGAAGAGCGAAAGGCGTTCGGGTGTGAAAAGCAGAGCGGACGTCGGTTAGCGGCGATCGGTATAATATAGTGGTGTGGGGAGGAGGTTGGTGATTGATGAGGGTGGGATGGCGCGGCCTTGGAGGGAAAGAAGGGGGGTGAATGCGGGGTGATGCGGAAGGGGACGGTTGAGATGCGAGCGCAAAGACAAGTGGGGGATCTGGGAAACGGGATTGAGGGTGGGGAGGTAGGAGCTGGGGGTGGGCGGGTGTCTGAAAGGTTGGTGCGGACGAGAGAGATTGCGAGCTGGCCGAGGGCTTTAACGAGGAGTGGGTGCTACAGGACCAGAGGTAGGGAGACGGGGGAGAGGTAGATACGGCGGTTTTGCGACGGTGGGGGGAAGGTGGCGAGGTTTGGTGGTGAGATGAGGAGGGGCCGGGCAATGGGCGGGTCGGAGGGTTTGCTGGGGCGCCAAAACGGACAGGGCCACGGTGCGACGGGGGCGGGGGTTGGGCAAGACGGGGCGGGGTGGGGACGTGGGCGGGCGGGGAGGGGAGGGCGGGGGGAGGCGAGGAGGGGCGGGGGCGGGGCGGAGCGTCTGAGGCGGTGATGATGGAGGGGATGTGAGCGGAGCGAGTTGTTGTGGCAATGGAGGTTGCAAGGGCGACGAGGACGATAACCTATGGAATGGGAGGCGCTTAGGGTGGCGCTGTGAGACGGGGGATGGCGCGAAATGGGCGCAGCAGTCGGGCCGGGCCGGCCATTCGTCCTGGTTAGAGCTTCGGGGGCCGTAGGTGACCAGCGGTGGAGGGATCCAGGGGATGGCCCTACATACTTCGCGCGGATGGCCAAGGAGGGAAAATTGTGTGTTAATTGGCGTAGTGCGGAAATTCATTGCTTTTTTTACATCAGAGATGTATTTATATTCGTGGAATTGGTGGAATACTATCACAAAAAATTCAAATTGTAAAACAAAGTAGCGAAACTAATTAGAATGGAAGTAAACCCTAGGTAATGTAACATAATTACTGTTTCCATCGAAGCAAAGAGATTTGTGAATTGAATTAAAATAAAATAGGTGAACTTTAATGAAATAAACCAAAAAATAAAATATAAGTAACCTTGTAATTAAATTAATATTTTTGAAAAAATGGTATAGGAAACGTGAAGAAAACGTCACTCAATAGAAACACTCATTTATTGGAAACTCGAAAGAACACGTGCGTTTCGATCAATTCAATTCTTACATTTCTTGTCATTCTGTCATAATGCAAATTTCCTAAGCTTTTTCATACAAGTAAAGTTTTGAAATTTTCATTCATGAAAATAAAAATATATAATGAAACAATATACTCAGATATTTAGATGCATTTCAACGTTAATAAAGTAATTATTCTGAGAGAAAAAAAAAACGTAAATTTCAGTAAACCTGTCCAATAAACATACGCCAAGTTAATGATGTGCAAAACACTTATTTATTTCTTTTTACGTCTATTAAAAAAAGAGGCAAAACATACGAAAACTTTTTTAAAACACTTCAAACTTTGGTTGTTATTTCCATATTTACGTAAACAGACCCAAAACTCCTTCATATATGAAAAAGGAATTGGAATCTACCACTGCAAATATATTTGTATCAAGAAAGAAATACTAATATCATGTAATCGTTAATTATCTTAATGTTTTCTCCTTAGCAGGTAGCCCCATAACAATTCAAGAAAATGAAAATATTTAGTGACGATTCAGTGATGAATTACGTTTTAAATATTTAAAGGGATGTTATTAAAATATGCCATACATCTACGGAAAGACGTCGAGTAACGACAATGTTAGTCATTTTTCAATCGTACTCTGTGTTAATTATATTTTCACAACTTTGCAGACGGTAATTTGCAGTGTACGCCTTAATGATGTAGAACATTTGAAAATTCATTTTAATGATTAAATCGAGAACTCTCGCAGTTGTGAATTGCCCGCTCGCTCTCCGAATCGACCTGTCAGATCCTCTCAAGTGATCCATCTTCATGTGCGCCGCCGACAGGGCAGATTGATCGCCGTAGAAATGAGGTCGAACTCGTTCAAGCTCTGACGTGACTTCAATGAGCAGCAACGGACTGTAAACAGATTTTCGGAGCGAGGAATGGGAAATCAGCTTTCAGACACCGTTTTTAGTGCACATTAACGAAATGTGATCTCATTTCCTACCGGCAATTGTAAGAGAACATTAAATGTTTAGGTTGTGGAAATTACAAGTTTTTTTATAGTTTCTTAAATCGCATATACGTATTTTTGGTTTCTGTATTATTTGATTTTCAAGATTTTACGCTGAAACTTAGTTTACCAAGAGAGACTTACCGCTATTGAAAAGTTGCAAATTTTTAAACTAAATCATTAGTACCAATTCTTTAACGACATTTTATGAGCCGCTTCAGCAGCTATAGTTTTAAAATTGTGTTTTTAAAGACCTATTTTCAAATCCTAGATTTTATTGCACTTGATCCAATCTAATAATAAGTTCTTTTAGTTTCCTTCCTTGCACACAGAAAAACGTTTATGAATTACTAAGATGCACTTATTGGTGATTGATTCACTTTGAATATTTTAAAAGCTTCGTTTCAGAACATGTGACTTCAAGAATCAAATGTGATTTAATTATATATGAAATGTTTCTAGATTGGCTAATACTACTTCGAATTCATTCTGAAAAATAAGAAGAAAAGGGTTTCTAAAAACAAGGCTTTCGCACATGTACCTTAGAACAATCTTTTTCCAATCCCTTCATACCAAGTATGATTTCAATTGTGCTTAATACAACGTTCTTTTTCTTTTTTCAAAATGTGTTTTAAATAATTGAGTAACTTTACTAACATGGTCTGTGTTCAATGCATAATGGGTTTGTAATAAAATCAAATAAATCTACAAATATATTATAGAAACGATATGCATAAACGTTTGAAAAATTTGTGCTTAACGTTTACTTGTTATATAAAATTCGAGGTAGTCAAAGTGTCAAGGGAAAAAAGTTTAAAATTAAAAGACAATCATCAACAGAAACGAATAAAAAATTTCAATTACAAAATAGGAACCCTAAATGCGAGAATATTATCCCGTACAGAACGATTCACGGAATGAAAGCATGAGAGTCAACCAATGTAGATATTTTGGAACTGGGCGAAGTTCGTAGAATGGATAGTGATTTAATAAAAAATAAATATTTCAAGTTATTCAATTACATAGAACAAACCGTACAGAAATGTGCGAAAGTAAAAGAAAGGAAAGAAAATAAAAATTCAAACTTAGTGGAGAAAGATATTTAAAAAAAATGAAATTGATGAGAAAGAAAAAACAACGAAAACGCCATTTTACAAGTAGAATTTGCCGAAATCAAGAAAATGACAAAGTGAATGACCAGGAGAGACATAAAGAACAATAAACTACAACTAATAAACAACGTAATGCAAGGCACAAAATCATATAGAACCATAAGGAAAGAAACATGCATTGGAAAAAATTGAATAGAACAACTAAATTCCACAAGTGGAGACAAAATTACAAAAAGATATAATATAGTAGAAACCTCAAAATCATTTTATCTGAAGTCTTATTCCAGTAAAATAAAAAATGGAAAAAGATCTAATAAAATACTTGGGAAAAAATCAGTGTAAGGAAACTTTGTTCCACCAACCATGAAGAATGAAATGAAATATGCGATGAAGAAAGCAAAATGCGTAAAGAGTCCAAGAGAATACCGAATTACAAATGTATATCTAAAAATAGAAAATGATGTTATGATAAAATTTCTTACGAATACATCTTGACGACAGAGGAAATTCCTGAACAATAGTAGAAAAACAGTATAATACTCTTACCTAAAGTGGTTCAAAAATGAAATAAATGACTATCGTCTATAAATGTATAACTATTGCGTCAAATATTTACAAATGTTTTTCGACAATACTAACGAGAAGAATGACAATAACCTTATATGCGAAACAGCACTGTAACCAGGCAAGATTCAGAAAATGATTTTGAACAATAAATTATTTTCAAGCCCTTTACCAACTCATACAAAAATCTCGAGAATACAACCAAAATCTTCATGTAATGTTCACTGATTTTACAAAAGCTTTCAATTCAATGGAACATCTATCGGTATTAAAATTTTTAAAGAGACAAGGAGTACAAGACAAATACAAAAAATTAATAGGGAAGTTATACGTAGTGAATATGGCGAAAATAATAACATGTAGGGTGAACTATTTGAACGCCAAAGAAGAGTAAAGCAAGGGGATCCCATTTCCCCTGAACTGTTCACGTCTGTTTTAGATGAGGTTTTTAGGAAAATGAAACAATCGCACGGGGTTAATATAAATGGAGAGAAACTATTCAATCTATGTTTTGCAGATGAAATAGTGCTAATTTCAGAAACACCGTTCAGTGAGGAAGTATGGCTAAAAAAGGAACCTAAAGAAAGCAAAAATTATTATCAAATGTGAAAACATTATCTTTGAAGTAGGTAATGAAGAAATCAAATATCTAGCGGAATATATAGATCTTGGACAATAATCTCCATCAAAAATAGAAACAGAAAAGAAATAGGGATATCAGTAGCATGGAAGATATTTTGGAGCTAGAAATGTATACTCCTGGAAAAGTCACTTCCATTGAAAATGATAAGAGCAGTCATGGGTACATGCATACATCTTACTATTGTGGCGTCGTTAACACGAGGGCCAGAACCGTTAGGTCGGTGAAAGTACGCTGCGGGGGAGGAAGGGGTTGAGCCTGAACTTCCGGGAGTTCCGGCGGTTGACTCAGGTAGAGCCGCAGAGCCAAAAATACCGTAGGCTGTAAACTCCGAGGATGCTAGCCTCGCTTACGGAAACAGGCGAGCCAACCCTGAGAATCCTGTGTGGGGGCGTAAACCAAGGCTGGCCTGCGAGCCTCGCGCCAGCCGGCGAGCCTATCTATGGAACAGTGGTGGGGGTGTCAGCCTCAACTATTTAACGCGGCGCCATCTGCGCCCGCGCTCTCATTCAGTTAGCATCGGGGAGCTTGTACGTGTATGTACGAGGAGAGTAGGAGTGTGGGCGAGATGTCCGGAGAGTAAGGGCCGGACGATCTCGCGTGCTGTAGGCACACGGTCGCCACGACCGGGTTAAATTTTGGCGTCAGGCCATGTGACGGTAATTGTCACGGGACGGAGGTCCGACAGCGCGCATCACGCGTGGCTTGTATTTTTCTGCGGTAAAGCAGGGTATTGAAAGGAAAAGGTTGCCGGGGTGTTTTAATATTAGCAATTCATTGTAACTTGTACATAATCTTTAATATATTATTTTTCTTTTGTTATTGAAATTTATTTCCTATTTCACTACGTCACACTATGCTATTTGGGGCGCAGGCATGGTCACTGATTAAAAAATAGAAAAACATACTAAGCATTGTGCCAAAGTAGTATGGATGGAAAGGTATTAGTAATAACACTAGAGATGTTAAGAGAAAAAACGCAAATAATAGAAGTCACTGAAAGCACGGCAGCTGAAATGGAGATAGAACATTTAGCAAGACTCAACGACGATAGATAGAGTTATTGAACTACAGTATGAGACCAAAGAAGAGGTACAAGAAAAGTGGGAAGTCAGAAGATTCGTTGGGAAGACGAAATAAATTGTAAAGTAGTACATTTATGAACAAGAACAGCAAGAGATAAAAGAACATGGAAATTACTCAGTTATAGTAGAAAGAGTACTTTAAAGACAGAAAACATTTGAATTAGGTCAGAAAAAATATTTAAGTGATAAGTGAAAGTGTAACCTATGGACAAGAGCTTCAAGAAGAGAAAAATAGAGATAATTTTGTATTAAAAGAAAATGTTTACCTTTAGGTTTTAATCGCAAAGAACAAAACATTTACAAGAGGTTAATTTTTAATCACCATACTGAAAGTAGGAGTTCCTTGCCCTTTATGGGATGTTACACTGGCTATTACTTTCATTTATATTATTTAGTTTATATTAATATAAATTCTAATGTAACTTTTAATGTTCTTGAATGTATGAATTAGTGTTTAAAGATGTACCACAAAAACGATACCCATTTTACTGTGATTATATCAAAGTTCGATATTTAATAACACACACATGTCATTCACAAGTTGTGGAAAGGAATTGCTAAAATACTCTTCCAAAAAAGATAAAACCAATCAGTGATTGTCGATAAGATGTGTTGGAGGACAATGGTATCCTCAGAATATTTAAAGGCAATCAATCCATTAATTTATTTAAAACATAAATATTTTATTATAATCAAAATGCAGTACATACACTATTTCCAAAGCTCTTGCATTTTGTATCTCATGAAATACAAGAAATACCCTCGGTTAATTTCTGGGACTTTAAATATTAAATTTCATCAGACTGTCAATACGAATGTACAATCGAATATTTTCAAAAATGCATGTAACAATGCGTTGTCCAAAATTAAATTACGATCCAGTGAATATTTAATGGATTATCCCATTTGTTCATTTTTTTTCTTTTGGCTCTTGTTGAGCTGCTCTTATTCTCCCTTTCCTTCACCTTTCTTCATTATTTTTATCTCCCCCATCCAGGACTCTCATTCTTAGATTTTTGTGCCTCTGGTTTCTTTACTTGAATATTTGATCATAACTGAGGAGGTCCACCTTTACACACGACACTCATTTGCGTTTATTCTTTTATTTTTACTGGACTAAGTTTTTAGATTGTGACTTCTTTAATACGAGTGCTTCTCTTATAAAGGTTTTTGTTTTTTTCTTTAAGAAGTCTTGTGTTTCATAATTATATATTTATATATAATTTGTGCTTTTTGATTTTCTTATATTTCCTGTTTTTATATATCCGAACTTTTAATATCTCTTTATTTTAAATATCGCATTTGATTTTCCAATTTTTCTTCAAATTGTATTAGTAAAACACGGTTTAATTGTTATAACTGTATTATTTCAGTCAGTTTTAGATTTTAATATTTTGATTATAATACAATATTTCTCTTTTAAATAAACGAGTGAATTGATTGTCTTTATATATCCTCAAGATAGAATTGTTCTACAAAGAATACAAAATTAATGCAAAACT